GTTCCCTAAGTCGATCAAAAACAGTTTGTTGCACCATATCATTCACTACATCTGCTGCAATCTGTGAGGCTATTTTACTTTACTTTCTTCAGTAATAGAGTATTGTATTTTATCACTTGGCTCATGCAAAACATTAAAACCTTCTTGTAACATACGAAATAGTTCATTTATTTCACTCCGTATAGTATGATGATCATTTCTGAGTTTCATCATTTCATCTTTTACAAGAAAAGGTCCTTGGCAACGCCGGCCACCTCAACGTGGTACCAAGGTCCAGTACTTTGTATTCTCGGGGGAAGTCAAAAACCAAGAGTCAGCAATGTTTTTCTTCTGGAAGACCCGTTGACCCTTAGGCTAAGGCGTTATAAAGCACCGGGGCCAGCCGCGTCGTGCTGGGGCGGAAATATATCCAAGAAGGTCCTGGGGCACCTTCCGACGTGCTATCAGCAGCATCACCCACACCAGGTTGCTGCTATGTGGTGGTGTAGAGGAAAATCCCGGCCCTTCACTGCGAGGAATGCAGTGGAACCCAGCTGGACTTATCCAGGCCAAGAGGCTTGTTCTCCACTAAAACCTTTGTTGAGGAAAATGTGACATTCTGCCTTCTAAGCGAGAGGAAAGTATCTTGTGCGGAAGTGTCGAGTTTCACAATCGCTGGTTACCAACATCATGGAGTGTCCCACCCCTCTAAAGGAGGCGGTGTTTCGATTCTTGTGCGTGAAGATCTGCCAGTAGAAGTAGGACTCACCGTAGTTGCAAGCATTGGGCATGCTCATGCAACGATGCCAAGTGTCAGAATTTCTGGTGCTCACAATGACGTCAGCACACTTCCCTCTGGGGAGATCATACACAACTTCGCAACTAGACACGCTTCTGACGACAAGCGGACCTCACCTCATTGGTGCAGATGCTAATTCGCATGCGTTGGCATGGGATCGCGCGATCCACCCTGATACCCGTAGCGATGTGCTAGTACAATGGTGCCTAGATAATGACTACGTTATTCACAACACTGGAGATTGCACTCGCCCACACCACACGCCATGGCCCGTCCGAGCCAGATGTGACAATATCCCGAGAATGCCGTCTGGAGTCCTGGGCGGCATCCTTCTACCCGGGCAGCGACCATTACATCATCCCCTTCGACGTAGTGGTAGCAGATGATGACGAACCACTGCGGTTCCCTCGCCCTCGTGCCCCCATTTATGCATGGAGGAAGTCGATTTGGTCCCGCTTTAGAGAAATGCCAAACGCACAGTGCAATAAACGCCTTAAAGAGAAACTGAACGTTCACAAGAGAGAACGACTACTGACCTCCGCCATCCGTATCGCAATAGCTGTGGCGGTTCCACGCGGGGGTCGAGATACTACTCCTTTTTGGACTCCATAATTAGATGAAATCAAAGAGAAGATTCACAATTGTAAACCCTCTGTCTCCCGAGACAGACTGGTAGCTCGTAGAAGAGAAATGCTAAAACAAGCATCCCATAAGAGATGGAAAACCCTCTGTAATAACATTTGCCGTGGCAGACGGCTGCTGTTGAAACATTTTGAAGAGGATCTACGCCCTGCACCCCCTCAGTACCCCGGCGATAAAGATTAATAATACGGCACCCACATACAATCAGAAAGCCAAGCACTTTATCCGTTTATATTCACGAAGAGCTCAACGTCATCCACATTCCTACCCTTCACCGCCCATTCCAGTCACCGATACAGAATCCATCCCCATTACAACAGCAGAACTGGAACGGGCACAGCGTCTCCTTCCTAAAGGGACGGCCGCAGGTCCAGATGGTATCTACGGTGAGGCACTCCAACACTTGGGACCCCGTGCCAAAGCAGAGACCCTTGCCCTCTTCAACGAGAGCCTTCGTACGGGCGTAGTCCCAGTCTCTTGGGAAGTAGGCATCATTGTACCACTTCTTAAACCAGGAAAGAAGGCCACCGACTTGGATTCATTCAGACCAGTTACCCTCACTAGTTGTCTGTCCAAATTAATGGAACGGATCATTGCAGCCCGCATTGGAGATGTCATTGAAACCAAGCTGACCCCACAACAATCTGGATTTAGACCTGGTCACTCTACGTTAGATCAACTATTGCATCTACGCGCAGCCCTCACGAGACCCACCCTTGATTCGCGTACAGGTGCAGTATTCGTCGACTACGCCAAAGCTTTCGATACTGTAGACCATGATCGCATAGTTAGTGCGATGCAAGAGATGGAACTCCCACCACACATAATTCGATGGTCTGCATCTTTCCTGAAAGGACGTCAAGCCAAAGTACGAGTAAACAGTAAATCCTCTCCTTTAGTGCTTTTCCACCGTGGCGTACCACAAGGAACGGTCCTCGGCCCACTTATGTTCATTATAGTAATGAACACACTAAGCAAACGACTATCCCAAGTTCCCTTATTATTTCATGGGTTTTTCGCCGATGATCTCACACTAGCAGTATGACACGTCAACAGAGACATCATCAACAGTACACTGCAGCAAGGACTAAAAGTAGTGGACGAATGGTCCAAGAACTATTTTATGGAAGTCAACGTGGACAAAACGAAATACACACTTTTTGGAACCTCAGACCCGAATCCCCTTTTTCTTGAACTACGCGGTATCACCGTAGGTCCGGAGAAGGCACCTAAACTCTTAGGCATCACATTCCAAAACTACCGAGGCATGTCTACCCATGTGGTTCAAACGAGAAAACGCATGGACTTTCGGTTACTACAACTTGCAGCAATATCCTCAACCACATGGGGACCGAAGCGTGACGTCCTTCGAGCCTTCTATCTGACACTAATTCAAGCCCAGACGCTCTACGGTTTTGAGATCTGGTATTGGGATGCGGCTCCCACATCACGCAAACTCTTAGCAGGACAGAACAAAGCTTGTCGAACCATAGCAAGAATTCCATATGGGTGTCGCTCCGCAGACGCATTACGTGAAGCCCGTCTTCTCCCATTAGAGATGATGGCCATGATTCGGAGCCTCAAATATTTAATGCGATGCCAGATACGAGGTGGATCCCTCAGAGAAAGCGCAGAACAAGTCTATCACGAAACCCATCCAGTACGAGAATTTTATGTACGCATCATGAAAATCTATCCAACACTTGTTATAGAGCCACGCGAGTCCCCTTTACTGACACCAACTCTACGGTTTGGTAAACGCGCTCGCTTCTTCACATCACTGGAAAATGTATCAGCTGATGACCCTGAAGAACGGAAAAGAGGAGCATCCGAGCGTTGGATAGCCCGTCACTTTCGCCGTAAAGGCACAGAACCGCCACCGCGTACCCATTATGAAATTTGGACTGATGGCTCCGTATTTCTCGGAGTAAAATCTTGAGCAGCAGCAATGATATACAAAGATGGTGAACTGCTCTGTACCACACATAGAGGCGCTGGCCCCCTAGCTTGCGGCTATACAGCTGAATCCGCAGTGCAATACGAAGGTTTACGGAGACTCCTCAAAATAATTCCCGCAAATAACCCAACGCCATGCAGGGTCTCCATATTCACGGACTCACTGTCCCTTCTCACGGCACTGGAAACAGGTCCACTGACTGTAACTGGCCCAATACTACGACTCTTGTGGAACCTAATACTTCAAGTGCAACGTCGCAAGGCCCGCATACAACTACAATTTATCTTTGGTCACTGCGGTGTAGTAAAAAATGAAAAAAGCGACACAGAAGCCAAAAAAGATGCAGAACTCCCACAAAGAACTGATACTTGGATAACAGATATAATAGCCTACGCCAAACGAATGCTTAAGGTTAAGGAAGAGGATGAACCCCCTCCCTCCCATAGATTAAAAATCACTGGATCCTGGGATCCAACCAAAGACAACCCGGAACTTACTAGAGAAGAAGAAACAGCCTTAGCACGATTTCGCACAGGTGCTTCGCATCGCTATGGCTGGTTGCTGCAAAAGATACAAACCCATATGCCACCTGGTTGTCGATGGTTTAATCACCAACAAATCAATATGCCGGCACCCGTTATTCCACCTAGCTAGAAAAGACCGCGCTATGCACAAAACAAAGCAACAGACCCAGCCACCTGCACTGAATGTGGGACACAATACTCATGCAGGAACACCGCAGTAGTACATATGGTCAGCAAACATTCGGTTCAAGAGAGCCAACGCGCTCTGGAAGATCAAATTCCCCCATGAGCCACCTCCGCCGGACATCCCGCCAGAACCTCCGCCACCCCCACAACCCCCACCTCCGGACACAACGTTACCCCGTCCCACTTCGCCTAAAGCAAAACCCCATCCGTTTGCCTGCAGTATGTGTAAACGAACATTTCTGCTTCAAAATGGATTAACGCGCCACCTTAGATACATGCACAATGCCACATGCCCTGTCCCAGAGAGAAAACGCCCGCGAGCCGACGAACCGATTACAGAAGAATCAGCATTTCCCCTGTGACAAATGTGATATGATAGCGCGCTCTAAAACAGGCCTCAAATCCCATATTAGAGCGAAACATCCTGAGAACCCGGAAAAAATACGCACCTCGCCCTCAGCTCATCCCACAACATGCTTCTCTACGCTGCGAATTTTGCCTACCCGACTTTGGCAACATCGGAACGCTCGCATGCCACAAAGAGTTCAAACATCCACCTGGAACTCTAATTCTCCCAGCAACAATACAAGTAACGTTTCCACAAAATAAGAAACGCCAGCGAGATACGTCGTCACCGGAGCGTGAGGACAGAGAGAAAGTCCAATGCGGAGTATGCCAGAAGTTCTACGCCCACCTAGACCCCCTCGTAATCCACTGCAGAAAATTCCATGATGGAGAAGGTATGCCTACAAAAAACAAATTCCACCAGTGCAAGATACAATACAAGCCAAGAAAAACACGAGACCTTCCGGCATTAGTCTGCCTCTCATGTGGTCACCAATGTATGAGTAAATCAGGCCTAACTCTACACCGAATGTCACGTCACGGGTATCACCCTACCCACTCGCGCACCAACCAACGCGACGAATGCGAAGAAACAGCTCTGCATCTCTTGAGTTGTATCGCTCTTCATCCACTGCGAGTTCAATTTGCGATAGTTGATGATGTACCCCTGATGAAACTATGTTTTTCTAAGCGGTTAGCACAGTTCCTTATTGCGGTGGGGCGGAACTACGCTATGCCACACTCTTCACAACCAAGAGAAACCCTACGCAGCCTACCTTCCCCCACCTCTCTAAAATAAGCGACAAGCACGATCATGGAAACCTTGATAGAAGAGTAAGCTCAAGACGTCTGTCACCGAACAAACAAGCAACAAAATAAATAGGAGTTCATTGAGGCCAATCTATCACAAAAAACCCCAAAATAATAACCAAAAGGGGACCTGAGGATGGGTTCTGGGTAAGAACAGTGAGAGTAGAGAGATCTGGTAGAGTTTACTCGATCAGATTTCTCGTAGACTGGTTCTCTCGTGTGGGAAAGGGCTACAACCAAAAATCATATTACAAGAGCTTGAGGATCCTATAAAACGAAGGGATCTTCTTCTTCTTCAGAGTCACTCGTAAGCCGGTAATTACGTGCTCTACGGTGTACGGCCGATGGCCGTACCATTGGAGAAACATCCGCAAAGCCACGAAGAACAGAAAGAAAAATCCTTGGCAAGGATGTGCTACCTTATCGCTGTGCCATGGTTAAGTACTTGAATTTATTCAAAGAAACCAAATTCACTCACTAAATGTTTGAAGTGGGTGGTCTCCTTGAAAACCAAATTCTTTTTATTCTTCTTTTCAATACATGCGTTCTTAGGAATGACATTCCCTTGGTGACGTTTGGCCATCGAAAGTTGAAGCCAATGCCCATTATCCCTTATTCTTTCGTGGGAAGCCATGGGCCATTATGCCCTTTTCTTGGGAGTTTACGGATTCATAAGCTAAAAACATCATACAGCACCGGGGCCAGCAGAGTCGTGCTAATACAAAACTTTATCCAAGAATATTCTGGAGCGTGTATCATTGTGCCATCGGCAGCAGTTTCTTTTACATATTGCACTCTAGTGTGAATGCTGCTAAAAGGAATGGAACGGACCCTAGAGATAGTAATAATTATGCCCTCTAGTGGCGGAAATTAGATTAGCCGCTGAGGCGACTCAGAGAGACGGAAAAAAAATCCATGCTCTGCCACCTACGAGATCCATTATAATATCATTACCAATGCGTATTCCCCATGCCCAACGGTAGTAAAAAAATAATATAAAAACAAATTGTATTTATGTATATTTATGTACTATTCTTGATGGCCCGTTCCATTGGAGTAATATCCATAAAGACACAAAAAACGAAATGAAAAACGTGGTGGTGGGGTGTGGGAATTCTTTTTGGGTGGGGGGAGAAGGAGATATGTTTGATCGTACCCTCCTAATTCACACCATGGAGTAAAGTATGTGTGTGGGTGGGGGTATGTTTTTTTTGTTTTTGCTGATAATGCTGTGGGAGAAGAGGAGATAAACCGGCATCGTGAGGAAAAATAAAATAATAATAATAAGGATAAATAAAGAGGTAATATGTGTGTGAGAGAGTAATTCTGTGTTGATTCTGTTTGTAAAGAGTGACATGGTATTGCAGTGATGTATGCAGTCATTTTTGTTTATGGTTGTGGGTGAGTGGGTTTTAGATTCCAATTGTGGTGTTGGTATAAATATTATGGTGATGCATTGGTTTCTTTCTTTTTCTGTTTGGAAGTGTGTTGATTATTGTACAGTCTCTTTGTTTTGCTGATTGTTTGTGGTATTGTTTTTGTATGTTGCCAGGCGTACACTGTGTTTTTGGTGTATTTTGGTGTTCAAACTGCCTGGTAATGGTTTTATTATAATGGGAATACAGACACCTTGTGTGTATGAATACCGAGTAAGATATTGGAGTGTGTGTGGAGACGTTTATTTAACATTGTTTTGATACCATTTGTTTTCCACTTCTTCTAAATTCAAGGTGTTGTTTTAATATTTGTGTAACTCTGGGTGTGTTTTATTGTGTGAGTGGTTTACTGTTGTACCCCTCATTGGGTTGTGTTTGATTGCTGTTGTGATGTGTATTCTCACTCTCTTTCCGTGTTGCTGTGTGCTGTCTGCCTTGTGTGTTTCTTTTCTCCTTTTCCTCTTCTTCCTTGTTACCACAGATCCAAGCAACCCACAGTGACAATCATGACAACGATGTCCGTCCAACTGCGCCGCGTGGTGTACCTGTTGGTACTTCTGCAGTGTTTTGTGTGTGTGGCATGTGCGGCAGATGGCGTGAATGTGAACTATACCGACGCAGAAATTAATGGCGATGGGGAAATAGATGATCAGTTGAAGATCCTTGTAAGGCAGACACTGTTGTTACTGAGGGATTCGCAGATTCCACTTGCGAATGCAACCGCCTGTAAGGCCATATGGGAAGGGGCGATCAAAGCAAATAACGCGACGGTGAATAGGTCCCGGGATGCCTTCGAAAGAATTAAGAAGCTTGACGAAAGAATCAAAGAGTATACGGAGAAGGTGCCCCAAGGGGGGTTTGCACTCAAACTGAAAAAGGAAGTGAATCGGGAAGGGTTTAGAAAGTTGGTTAACGACATTAAGGAGGAACTGGAGAACAATGCGAAAGACATACCAAATGAGGAGGCGGTGGCAACGATCGACGAAGCAGTCTACACTAAGCACGTTTGTCTCACAGTGCGTGGAAACGCCGAAAACGCTCTGGAGAATCTCAAACGCAAACTGGAGAACTACGAGACGTTTAAAGAAGAGACTGCGAGGAGTACGAAGGCAAAAGAAGTAAATCAAGCTGGCAAAAGTAGACGTGACGCGTTGGAAAAGATCTTAAAAGAACTCAAGGAAGTGCAGCTGGACGCCACGCGGTCAGTTTCTAAAGCGAAAGATCAGGTAAGGGCTTGGGCAGATGCCGTGGGGAGGTTCTCCCGTCTCGGGGAGATGGTCACGAAGTTGGAAAATACAGATGATGTTCCCGCGAGAAATGAAATCAAGGCGGAAAACAATGAAACCGTTCTGAAAATAACAAGGGTTGCCACTGAACAAAAAGTGAAGGATATTCGCAAGCTTATCAACGAAGTTGATGATGCGACGAAAACACGAAGGGAGACGGTCGTTGAGAAAGTCAAGGAAAAGGTGGAGACTGCTAATGTAGAAGCGGCCGCACGCGTTGAAGAGGAAGTAAGGGAGGCCATAAAAGCAAAGAAAATTGCTGACGAAGAAGAGAAGGCGAGAAAGGCCAGGGAAGAAGAGGCGAGAAGAGTTGCAGAAGAGAAGGCGAGGCAGAAGGCAGAGGAAGAGAGGGCTAGGAAGGCCAGGGAAGAAGAAGAGGCGAGGAGAGTTGCAGAAGAGAAGGCGAAGCAGAAGGCCGAGGAAGAAAAGGCGAGACAGGCAGGAGAAAAAACAAGGGAAGAACAGACGAGACAGGCAGCAGAAAAGACCGAGAAAAAGAAGGACGGTGGCAGCAGTCCTTCATTGGTGCACAGTCCCCTTTTGTTGCTTCTCCTGTCTGTGGTGGGTTGCACTCTCGTGTGTTGATCGGTGTTCCCATGACACAGTTCCACAGTTAAACTTTGTTTGAGTGGATATGGATGCATTGTAAGGGTGTTTTTATTTATTTTGTTTTCATTTTATTGTTTTTCCCCTTGTGTGTTTCACTATAATTTCATTGCACATTATGTGCATCTGTGTGTTTCTCTTTTGCGTTCCCAATGCACATTGTGTATCTTGTGTGTTCATTCTTATGGAATGATTCTTTTTTTTTCATTATATACAAACTGCTGCAGGGACATCAAGAATAAAGATATGGGCACGGCACGTTCAGTACACAATGATTTTCCGTTGTTAACCTTGGAGTGGATTGGACTGTGTCCAGGCATCGCAGCTACAGTAACACATGAATTTCTTTTTTTCTTTCTTTTGCACTATTGTTGTGTCTGCCTCACGCAGTCACTCTTTTTTTGCATTTTTATTTTGGTATAAGGATTGGTGGGCTGTGGGTGTTTGAGTGTGCCCCTCTGTTGTGTGTTCCTTTGTGTGTTTGGGTTGCTACTCACACCCCCACGTAATGAAAACACATTTCTTTGTTCTCACCTTCTCTCTCGGTGTTGCCACTCACAGCATTGCCACGAACGTATTTGTGCCCTTGTGGTGTGTGGTGTTTGTTGTGTGGCTTGCTTGAGTGACTGCAGCCTGCGGGGAGGACCGAGAGTGTTCCGCTTCGGCTTCACGTAATGGGTCTGTTTTTTTTTTTTTTGGGATTGGGTTGAGTTGATGTGCTGGTGTGTGTGAATGTTTTTCTCTGATGGGAGTGGGACCTGTGTTTATTGTATTGTGAGTGCTTTGTGTGCTGTTGGTATCCTGTTGTTGTATTTTTCCCTTGATTTCTTTTCCTTTCTGGGTGTGTGACTTAGTGTACATTTTAGTGAATGCCGTAGTGCCTCTCTGATATGAGCATGTGAGACTGTCGTTGTGCGGGTGGGAAGGACACTGTTGTGTTGCTGGTCCACTACCCTGCGGTGCGATTGGGTTCGCACATGAATGAATTAATGAGATTCCCTCTGTCCCGAGTTACTATCTAGCGAAACGGCAGTCAAGGGAACGGACTTGAAGGGCTAAGCGGGGAAAGAGGAGACCCTGTTGAGTTTGACTCCAGTCTGGCTCTGTGCGGCGGCATCTGAGGTGTAGTATAGGTGGAAGCGCAAGCACAAATGAAATACCACCACTCGGAACGTTGCTTCACTTATCGAATGAAGAGACCAATGGGTTTCGCGTAGTCTGTGGGCTATGCACCGTCTAGGTTTGGGATTTTATGGCGGCAACCCCGTCTCCGCGGGAGGGGGCGCGTGTTCGCAAGGGCATGTGTCCCCGTTTCTCTCCTTCACGGGAGGGCCCGTGGGCACCCAACCGTGCTGACAAACTGAACCAACGGGGTTGCTTCGGCAGCTTCGGAGTCTTGTTTCGAGACATCTGCCAGATGGGGAGTTTGGCTGGGGCGGCATATCTGTTACACGACAACGCAGGTGCCCTAAGGCGAGCTCAGTGGGAACAGAAATCTCACGTAGAACACAAGCGTAAAAGCTTGCTTGATTAACGATTTCCAGTACGAATCGAGACTGCGAAAGCAAGGCCAGCGATCCCTTGCGAAGAATAGGAAATATGAACAGATCATACCAGAGGTGTCAGAATAATTACCACAGGGATAACTGGCTTGTGGCGGCCAGGCGTTCATAGCGACGTCGCTTTTTGATCCTTCGATGTCGGCTCTTCCTAACCTAGCGCCGCAGAAGACGCTAAGGGTTGGATTGTTCACCCACTG